GTCATCAAAAGCATCAGAGTTCTTGAGAAGGATAAGATTTTACCTGAATCAATGATTAAAGAATAACAGAGACTTGCAAGCAGGCTGCATGGACAGCCATCCACAAGGTCCTCCATCCATAGTAGTGGACTGCAGGACACCTGCTTTCTTGCTGATAGCATGTGACTTGTGGATTACAGACTATAGGAAGAGTCGCCTACTGTTGACCCAAGCAACTCCGGGAAAGTTGATTCCATTGTCATCTTATCCACAGTCTGGAGTACCTTGTAGCAGTTGAGGTGAAGGGCAGGTTTGCTCAGTGACTAGCGTTGTCACTGACTCGAGATGAAGTTTCTTTAGTGCCCATCAGTCTTCTTGGAGGAAATAGGGTGGAGCCAGAAGCTGGCCTATCTCTCTGTTATAAAAAGCTTTTTAACAAAACATTTTAAATGCCATATTCTCTAGATCTCTGAGCATTTGAGGGCTGTCTGTTTAGTATCTCAGCAGTTAAGTTTGCCTTTAGTTAGAGAAAACTCCCCTTTTGTGATAAAAGCTGTACCTTTGTAAACGGTTTACAGGATGGACCGAGTGGTATAAATATTTTGTTAGTTTGAAATAGACCTTTGTGATTTTAAATTTTGATCATCATTTAAAGATACATGAGTTAAATTTAAGTTGTATAGACTTAGCTTATATTTTAAGTATAGTTAAATTAGACCTTTATGACTTTAAATGTTTATCATCATTTAAAGATTCATAGCAATTTAGAAATATGAGATTTAGCACAGTTTAATTTAAGTTGCATATAGAGCTAGATAAGTATAAAGTTAAATTACAGGTACAGAGACAAGCAGGACTGGATAACAGTAAAGGGGGAACAGAATATAATTTCTGATCCGTACATTGTAGCAAACAGACAGGAGATTTAAAGGGACAGAGTAAACTTAAACAGAGGGCCCTGGAAAGGCATAGTATTTAGTAAACAAGCCATGAACAACAGAGCCAGTTAAAGAAGAAATCACACACAAAAAAATAAAATAAAAAGCAAAAAGATCTGGCAGAAATCAAAAAATCCGGTAGACAGGTTTGCTGGCACAGGCTGCTGGAGCTGGGCGTGCCTACAGGTAGGTCATATGACCAAGATGGCGGCCCCCAGGTCAGTCCATATGGCCAAGATGGCGTCAACCATAAGCTGTTTTTGTCTGTTTACCTGCTTGTTGGATGAAACCAGAAAGGTTCCTCTATGCATTTCCCATCAGTGAGGCAAGTGGAAAACCGGCAAAAACTCCTCTCTGGATGCACATCTGCCCGTGGGAGTTGCTAGGGGCCTGGCCCCAAAGGGGACACAGCTGTCCCGAAACCAAAAAAGGACCCAGCGGTCCGAACTGAAAAAGCAAAAAGCACCGCTCCTGGAGCGGGATCCCATGCCTGACCCTCAGGAAATGAACCCAACAAGTGAAAGAAGAAATAAAAGGCAAGATGTCTGGTGGCAGTGCTTGTCCGTGCAAGTCAATGAACTGAGTGGGCAGGCCTTAGGATGGCACATGACCAAGATGGTGGCCCCCAGGTTAGCCCACATGGCCGAGATGGCGACCCCCGTAAGCACATTCTCAATTGCCAGAAGAAGTTTTTCTCCATGAAGTCAAACCTCATTCGTGTGGAAAAATGAAAACAATCAAACAAAAATGAAAACCAACCAACAAACAAAAAACTCTCAGAGCGTCTCAAGCAGACATTGCCAACCAAGAAGAAACACAGTCAGAGATAGAACAAATAGAACAATGAGGGACATTCCCAGGTGAAAGAAAGTTTCCATTGGGAGGCAGAACTCCGCTCATTTACCTACTCACTGGCAGTAACCGAAAGATCCATAAAATGTATTTCCCGTGGGCAAGGCCAAAAATGGCACAGATTGCTCTGTCTGAGAGCACCCGGAATGCCGTGCTGGGTCTCATGGGATAAGTTATGGGTATCTTACTGGATTGCAGCAAACAGGCAGATGAGTGCGTTCCAGAGATCCTTAATTGGAAAAGCAGCGAGTTGAAGTGTACAGAGTTCTGGCATCTCAGGCTCTGAAGGCAGGAGGAACTGTCAGAAAAAGCCGAGATGGAAGTGGGTTATGAGTTCAGATTTTAGGATCCCTGAAATTTCCCATGTCCCTGGCAGGAGAAGTTACAGAGAAAGCCTATCCCGCAGGCAAGCTTCGAGAGAGCGGCCATGGCCGGTCGCCATAGAGAGAGGCTAAGAGAGAGCCAAGAAGAAACAAACAGAGAGTAGAGAGAGGGGTCTCTCTTTTAAAGGGATCCTTTGCACCTACGTGCAAACTAATAGTCATGGAACCCTGGGCTGACCAGGGTACTGCCTGAGTGCATTTTGCAAGGTGACAGGGGCAGACCAGCATAATACCTGAATCCTTACACTTACTATTCTGCACCATTTCAATATAAAGATTACTTTATATTATTACTTTCCTAAAGACAATTAGAGCATTAATTAACAGAGTAGTCCTGTATTCCTCCTATGTATATTGCTAGGACACCATCTGTGTTACACATAAAAAAATAAAAACACACACACACACACACACACACACACACACACACACACACACAAACACACACAAATCCCTTCTTCCAATGTATGCTGTACCTAAAAAGCAAGCAAGTGAAAAACAGAAAAAAACAATAGGAAAATCTAAAACATCTGTTTGTTGTAAACAATGTTCTTCATTTTAGCAATATTAAGTCTGACTTTCAATATGAGAGCAATGTTCTTAATCCTATGGCTTCTTATCCTTAACTATATACCCAATTTCTAAATAATTCCAACACTATGAAATTATTTTTAATGAAATAGTTTAAAGAATCTCATTTTTTATTTTTATTCTTAATTGAAAATAGATTCTTCTCTCATACAATACATCCTGAACATGATTTCCCTTCCCTCCCACTCCTCGCAGCTCACACCCACCCCTCATCTCCCCTAATCCACGCCTCCTCTGCCTCCCATTAGAAAAGAGCAGGCCTCCAACAACAAACACAACAAACAAAATACAATATGACAAGGCAAAAGCCCTCTCAAAGAAGCTGGGATAAGGCAACCCAACAGGTGGAAAAGGGTCCCAAGAGTTGGCAAAAGAGTCGGAGACACCCCCTCTCCTACAGTTAGGAGTCACACAAAAACACCAAGCTAACCATCACAACATACACACAGAAAACCTGGTGCATACTCATGCCGCCCCTCCTGTTGCCACTTTAGCCTCTGTGAGCTCTGTATGCACCCAGCTTAGCTGAATCCGTGGGTCCTATTTTCCTGGTGTCTTCCATCTCCCCTGACTCCTACAATCTTTCTTCGCCCTCTTCCAAGGGTTATCCCAAGTTCTGAGGGGAGGAGACCTCCAATTTATACTTTCTCTCCTCATAATGTCTGGCTGTGGGTCTCTGTATCTGCTCCCATCTGCTGCCAGAGTAAGTCTCTCTGACAACTACTGGATAAGGCACTGATCTATGAGTCTACGAGTAAAGCAGAATATCATTAGGAATCATTGGATTTCTTTCCCCCTGCCAGTTGTGTTTAGGTCTACCCTAGGTCTCAGAGCTAGTCTCCAGTTCTTGGAGATCTAGGCAGTGTAGAGCATGGGCTCCCTCTTGTGGCATGAGTCTCAAGTTAAACCAGCCATTGGCTGACCACTCCTACAAGTTCTGCACCACCATTGCCCTAGTTCATCTTGCAGGCAGGATAGATTGTTGGTCAAAGGTTTTGTGACAATGTGGATGTCCACTTTTCTCTTTTGTAGCTGACAAAGTACTTTCCCTAACCAAAGAGACTAGAACGTGGGTTGGGTGCTCCAATGCAAGCACAAGCTCCACCTCTCCACATTCAGTGAGCTATGTAGATGTTGTCCTCAGCAATGGGGTTCTACTACCAGTTTGCAGAGAGCAACCTTCTATCCTTACACCAGCCTGGGTTGTTTGGGGTTCTCCATGGGACCCCCTCAGTCTACAACTCAACTGAATGCAATAGGAAGCCATGCCTGGCTATAAGAGATGGCCAGTTGAGATTCCATATCCCCAATTACTAAAAATCTTCACTAAAATCACTCTCATAGATTCCAGGAAGTTTCCACTGCACTAGATTTCCATGCCACCCCTCAAATGCCTCCCAATTCCAGCCATCGCTCCCTACATTCTCTCCCTCCATCCAATCTCCCCACACACACACCTAATCTCTCCGGCTCCTCTCAAACTCCGTCCCAGTCCATCTGTAAAATCTATACCATTTCCTCTTCCCAGGAAGATCCGTACATCACCCCTAGACACCTGCTCTTTACTTAACCTCTCTGGGTCCGAGGACTGTAGCTTTGCTATTTACTTAACAATTAATATCTGTATATAAGTGAATACATACCATATCTGTCTTTCTGGGTCTGGGTTATCTCACTCAGGGTGATTTTTTCCAAGTTCCACTCATTTGCCTGCAAAATTTCATGATGTCATTGTTTTTAACATCTGAGTAATACTCCATAATGTAAATGTACCACATTTTGTTTATCCTTCTTCTGTTGAGAGACATCTAGGTTATTTCTAGTTTCTAGCTAATATGAACAAAGCTGCTATGAACATAGTTGAGCATGTGTCCTTGTGGTAGGATGAAGAGTCCTTTGGGTATATACCCAAGATTGGCATAGGTGGATCTTGAGATAAATTGATTTCCAACTTTCTGAGTAACTGCCATATTGATTTCAATAGTGTCTATACAAGATTTCATTCCCAACAGTAATGGAGGAGTGTAGTCTTGCTCCATATCCTCTCCAATATAAGTTATCACTTGTGGTTTTTAATCTTAGCCATTCTGACAGGAGTAAGATGGAACATCAAAGAGGTTTTGAATTGCACATCCCTGATGGCTAAGGATGTTAAACATTCCTTTAAGTGTTTTTGGCCATTTCAGAGTCCACCACTGAGAATTCTCTGTTTAGATATGTATCAATTTTTAAAGTTTAATTATTTTAATAACTAGTTTCTTGAATTCCTTATATATTTTGGATATTAGTCCTCTATTGAATGTGGAGTTGGTAAAAATCTTTTCCCATTTCTGTGGCTGCTGCTTTTGTCCTATTGATGATGTCCTTTGACTTACAAAAGCATTTGAGTTTCTTGAAGTCCTGTATATTTATTATCTATCTTAGGGCCTGTGCTGTTGGTGTTCTATTCAGAATGTCATCTTCTATGCCAATGCATTCAAGGCTATTTCCCACTTACTCACCCATCAGTTTCAGTGTGCCTGTATTAATGTATTACATTTGGACTTGAGTTCTATGCAGGATGATAAGTATGGATCTATTTGCATTCTTCTACATGTAGACATCCAGTTTGATTAGCACCATTTGTTGAAGATGCTCTTTTTTTCCAGTGAGTATTTCTGACTTCTTTATCAAACTCAGGTGTCTATAGATGTATGGATTTGTGTCTGGGTCTTTGATTTTATTCCATTGATCAACAACTCAGTTTTTATGCCAACACCTCATAAGGTTTTCTGTAACTATAGTTTTGTAGTACAGATTGGAATCAGGGGTGGTGATTATGCCCAGAAGATCTTTTATTGTACAGGATTGTTTTAGCTATCCTGGGCTTTTGGTTTTTCCATATGAATTTGGAATTGTCCTTTCAATTACTATAAAGACCTGTGTTGGAATTTGATGGGATTGCTTTGAATCTGTAGATTACTTTTCATAGGATGGCCATTTTTACTGTTAAACCTCACAATCCATGAACATAGGAGATCTTTCCATCTTCTGATATCTTCTCCAATGTCTTTCTGCAGAGACTTGAAGATTCATTATACAAGTCTTTACTTGCTTGGTTAGAGCTACCCAAATATATTTTATATTATTTGAGGCTATTTGGAAATTTGTTGCTTCCCTGGTTTCAGATTTCTTTCTCAGTCTGTTTGTCATTTGTATATAGAATGGTTACTGATTTTCTTGAGTTAAACTTGTATCCAGCTACTTTGCTGAAGGTTTTTTTCAGCAGTATGAGTTCCCTAGTAGAATTTTGGGGTCACTTATATATACTATATATAATCTGTTAATAATGCTATTTTGATTTCTTCTTTTCTAATGTTTATCACATTTATCTCCTTGAATTATCTTATTGTTCTAGCTAAAATTGCAAGTACTATATTGAATAGATTTGAAGAGAGTGAACAACCTTATCTTAGTCCTGATTTTAGTGGAATTGCTTTGAGTTTCTCTCCATTTAATTTGATGTGAAATTTGGGCATGCTGTATATTGCCTTTATTATGTATAGGTATGTCCCTTGTATCCCTAGTCTTTCTAGGACTTTTATCATGAAGGGGTGATGGATTTTGCAAAAGCCTTTTTCTGCTTCTAAAAGGATGATCACGTGTTTTATTTTCTTTCAGCTTGTTTATGTGGTGGATTGCATTAATATGTATATTAAACCATCTGTGCATCTCTTGGATGGAGCTTACTTCATCATGGTGACTGATCTTTTTGATGTGTTCTTGGATTTGGTTTGCAAGAATTTTATTGAGTTGTTGCCATTGTTGTTGGTGGTGGTGGTGATGGTGGTTGTGGTGGAGGAGTTTGTGTGTGTGTGTGTGTGTGTGTGTGTGTGTGTGTGTGTGTGTGTGTGAGAGGGAGGGGGGGGGAGAAAAGGAGAGAGAGAAAAAAAAGCAACTAGAACGTTCTGTAGGACTGGATTTTCCTATGATATTTTCTGCCCCTGAGAAGACATTTTATGGATATCTACATGTGAGCAGGGAGGGGTCAGAGTAGAACAGATAGCAACTTTCTTTCCTATACTTTACTCCAAATTGTAAAGGCAAATACTCAGGCATAGCCCTAACTTGTTGGCCAGTTGTTAACACTAGCTTTATTACAAAAGTCTAGATAAAGTATCATAGGCAGCTTTCTTCACAGCTCTGGTACTTGGAGCCAAAGATTGGATCTATGTACCGAGAAGCAATTGGAACTGACCACATCAATTAATCAATGCTAACTCACTGACTTTAAGTAAACTTTTCCTAAAAATAATTCAATGTTTTGTAACTGGAACCAAGAATTAGATCAATAGGTAAAATCTTCCTCTTTTTCATGGATTAAATGCATTCCTGATTAACTCTAAGTCACCAATATTGTATCAGTGTTGTATTAAGGAAAGAAACAAACGAACATCCCTTTAGAGTCATTTCAACACCACAAATCCAGATCCGAGTTCTCTCTCTCATGCTGCCTATATCTTCCTTGCTCTGTCTGTTGTATGAGTCTCAATCTGTGACTGCCTGAAGAACATCCCTTTAGAGTCATTTCAACACCACAAATCCAGATCCAAGTTCTCTCTCTCATGCTGCCTGTATCTTCCTTGCTCTGTCTGTTGTATGAGTCTCAATCTGTGACTGCCTGATGAAGGCTGTTTTGTGGATCTGTCCCTTTGTCTGTGTGTAGCTATCTGTGTGTTTATCTGTGAGTGATAAATACCTCCATAAGGCAGAGCTCTGTGCTCCTTTTTAATGAACAGCACACAAAGTATCGCATGGGAAGGAATGGGATACTTTATAGCAAAATTTGACCCAAAAGCAACTTGAGGATAAAAGGATTTATTTGACTTACACATCCTGATCATAACACATCACTGAAGGGAATAAGGACAGGATCTCAAGTCAGGAACCTGGAGACAGGAGTAGCAGAGCCATGGAAGTATGCTGCTTACTGGAAGTATGCTGGTTACTCCCACTGGCTTACTGAGATACGTAGATATAGATCTAGAGATAGAGATAGAGATATATATCCCAAGAACACCTACCCAAAGAATGACACTGCCCATGTGGACTGTGACCTCTCATCACTCATTAATATCAAGAAGATGTGCCACAGTATGACTTTAAAAGTCCCAGTCCACAATCCACATTGCCAGAGAAACTAGTAAACAAGGACGACCCTAAAAGAGACAAACCTTGTCCTCTGGAGAAGGGGAAAGGGTCCCCATCCCCTGAGCAAATTGAGAGCATGGGAAGAGGGGGGAGGAAGCGACGAGAGTGAGAAGGGAAGAAAAGGAAGGATGCAGAGGTCATGAGGAAGCAGAAAGGTTGAGTCAAGTGGAGATTAGAAGAAAGGATATATAATAGGTAGGATTTTAGTTGGGGGGGTGGTAGGGGAGGAAGGGAGGGAGAAGGGAACTGGGATTGTCATGTAATTCCATCTTGTTTGTAATTCAAATATATAAAAAATAAAAAACTAAAAAGGAAAAAAATAAAGTCCCAGTCCTTTAAAATTTCAAACATTTTGAAAGTTAAATATCTTTAAAATATCCAACATCTCTT